TTTTCTCCTCCATTTATTTCCACACAATACAATACCTTCCTCATATATTCCAAAAACACACTCTGGTGTGATGTCCTAATTGAGCACCAACAGTTCAATATTCCAGAATGGTCTTTGAAGGTGTTTGCAACACAGGCCTTAGCCTTGGCTCAACCTCTATCAACAATCCTGAGAATGATCACTTCCATCAATCTCACCATCATCATCAACACAAGATCAACAAACTGTCATCTCTGAAACTCGATCATGTGTTCCCATCTCTTACTTTGGGCTTATCATCAGAACACAAACACCGAGCTCCTGAAGAGATTGTTGTTAGCAAAATTCATGGTGAAATTGAATCCACAGTTTTTTATCGACAAGGCTCTTCGCGTAGCGCTGTATCTTCGTACTCAAACTCTAGTGTCAAGAGGGAGAGAGATAATCTTAGTGCGGAAGAGGTAGAGAGAGTTTCTTCAAAGGTGAGTGACGATCAAGATCAAGATGAGGAGGGCAGTGCAAGGAAGAAACTTAGACTTACCAAAGAACAGTCTATCATCTTAGAAGATAGCTTCAAAGAACACACCACTCTCAATCCTGTATAAATACCATCTTTTCTATATCAATCTTGATTTATTCTATTTTAAAATTTTATGTGACAAATAGACAACTATTGGTTAGAAGAGTGATTGATCTGTTTCTGAATTTGGTATCCTTTCTTTTTTTTAATTATCAGAAGCAAAAGCAGTCCTTGGCGAAACAGCTAAATCTTCGGCCACGGCAAGTGGAAGTTTGGTTTCAAAACAGGAGAGCCAGGTATTCTTCATAAATATAGTGTTCTCTCTCTTTTAATACTGGTTTTGAGCAATACAGATAAGGAATCAGGTGATACGCTTGTGAATTTTGTATGCAAAACAGTTTTGTAGCCACAGCCATATTACAAGTCATGCCATGAAATAATGTTTATAGCAAATTAATCGATATGCATGCATGTGATTTTCCTTCCCACCAGTATATTAGAGTGCTTTTATTCCCATCAACATAAGAAGATGTATTGGTATCAAGAAGAAGATCTGATACGTATTGAACTATTGCCTTTAAACCCATGTTAAAGACTTACTATGCTCAATATGTTTGATCTAAGCATGAATCATAGTTTTAAATAACAGTATTGGGATATGTATTGGTGCTGGCAATATGGCCATACATGGGCCAATAATATCAGATAGTATCGACAGATATATCGATAAATTACAGTATTGCAAGTGCAAAATCCCAACATGAAATGGCTGGTATTTAAAACTCTTATGAATTAGTCATACTGAATTTTCTTTTCTTTTCTTGCTCTCAACAGGACTAAGCTGAAGCAGACTGAGGTAGAGTGTGAGGAACTGAAAAAGTGTTATAAAACACTAACAGATGAGAACAGAAGGCTGCAGAAGGAGTTACAAGAGCTGAAAGTAGTAAAGATAACAGCTCCGGTTTATATGCAAATGCCGGCAGCCACCCTCACCATGTGCCCATCGTGCGAAAGGATTGGTGATGGCAGTGGTGAAAACTCTTCCAAAAGCCCTTTTTCAATCGGAGCAAAGCCTCACTTTTATAATCCCTTCACCCATCCATCTGCAGCTTGCTAGATTATTACTACGGTTTGAAGTATCAACTATTGTGTATCAGGATTTGAGACTTTTTTTTAATACTGTTGTTCATCGATATATCGACTGATACTATTTGATATCAATTGATATACAATTGTATGGTCAATACTGATGCCATTATTTAAAACCTCCCGCCAAGGCTGAACAATTTTTAGTTCAAGCTAGCCTTCTCTATGTCACTCTAGAACTAGTCAAGTTATGAAATTTGTACCGTGAAATCTCTCTCTCTCTCTCTCTCTCTCGTGTACATATATATTTTTGTACAAACTTTAACAATAGTATATGAAGGGGTTCTTTTTCCTTTTAAGTTTCAGCAATTTATGATTTTCATTTGGAAAATCTGAGTGAACTTTGATTTTCTGATTAGAGTGATGTGGAAGAAAATGACAGTATGCACAGATGAAAAGAGGCATAGAATAATTAATTGATAATATTATGATTACGCATGAAGATAGAAAGCTTGGTTGAATTGTGTGTGGTTGCAAGTTGTTGATTCTGCTGTTACACTTGTGAATGCCCACAGAATTTCTGTCCACAGAACAAATAGAAGCAAAAGATAGTCATTGGCTTGTTGAGTTTGCCAACTTTGTTGGGATATTTTTCTTAAGCTATCATACTTTTATCCTGGGCCATTTTTATTTATGTAATTTGATTGTACTGCTTGTACTTCTTTTTCATCAATAAATTTCATTTTTTCAATCAAAAAAATAAAAAATAAAAATACAAGCAAACGAGAACTTACTAATCATGTTGTTACATATTTCGTGTACCAAGTATTCATGTAGTCATACTCATACCAAATAGGTACTCAATATAGGGAATCATTTTTGAAATACACATGCTTCATTGATTTCAAGTATATAAGTTCTAAAATCAAGATTTACGCTAACTTTTGAATGCACTTGTAGAATTTAGAATATTTGGTTGTAGATCAGTACAAGCAAAAAGTAAATAAATAAATAAAATACAAGCAAACAAGACCAAACCAAAGAAGTGACTCACAATATAGCCAGTAATTTAAGTGGGTGAGTCACACCAGCTTTCTTTTGTCCAACTTGTGTATTCCAACTCAATTCAAGATATTGAAGCTTCATCCCCCCCTCCTCTCTAACTACATGGCTTCATTTTGAAGCCAACCCTACATGCTTCCATGCTTCTATGTATGCATATTACATATATTTGCACAAGTCATTGAAGAATGAAAATGGTGGTTTAGTTCTAATAGAGAAGTCATGTCAAAAGGAAGACTAGGAGGCTGGATCCCTGTAGTGCATCAAAGAAGAAATCAGATAAACCAGAGTCCGTGGTCAGATGGTCGAAGAGCCAGCTTGTACACACTCTTTGTGGACAACTTGCCGGAGTCTATGAATCCAAAAAACCTATACACTTTGTTCTCAAAGTTTGGTGTGGTCAAGGATGTTTTCATCCCCCAAAAGAGAAGGCGATTAACAAATTCAAGATTTGGGTTTGTTCGGTATGATTGCTCCATTGCAGCCACTGTCGCAGAACAAAAAGCCAATGGATTATGGATCGACGATAAATCTCTATCAGTTAAAGTTGCAGAGTACGATAAGCACACGGAGCCAAAGCAGAGGCTGAGAACCATAGCACCAAGACAACATTCGACAAGGCTCATATCAGCCATGGCAAACACAAACATAAGGACCCACGGCATTGACGGCAGGACTTTCGCGGAAGTTATCAAAGGGGACCAACCAAGACCTACATCAAGAATAACCATCAGAGTAGCAGAGATTGGTAATGGTTGGTTGCATGAGAGCCTAATTATGAGACTCAAAATGGGTCATTCTATTTTACAGGTGAAAAATGAACTCACCAAAAGAGGTGAACAAAATGTGATGGTCAGGGAAGGAGGAGGGCGGGATGTGTTGCTATCATTCCCCAACAAGGAAGAGCTGCAGAGTAAAAAACCTCTGTTTCTGGACTGGTTTCAAGAACGGTCTGAATATATTACCGAATGGAGATCGGGTATGCATCTTCAGCAAGAGAGACACGTCTGGGTCAATTGCTACGGAGTCCCTCCTAACCTTTGGAGCTCCAACACTTTCAAAGAGATAGCAAGATTATGGGGGGAGTTGGTCTCCTTAGATGGTCATATAGGTACACACAGGTCTTTTCGTTGTGGCAGATTTAGCATTATTACAAATGTTATGGATCCGATCACCACAAGCATCAACCTTGAATGCAACGGGAAAATTTATCCCATTAGAGTCTTTGAAGAGCAGTCCATTGAGGACACTAGCTCAAGCTCCAACAAAACAGCTTTCAAGGACCCTCTTGAAGCCGTTGGATCCAAAGTCAATGGTGCACCGCAAAACATCCAGCACAAGCACACAGAAGAAGAAGATGATGACAAGGCTGCTGAAGTGGCAGGTGAAGTGGTCGGAGAGCCTGATTTAACAAATGGAGTGGTGACATCTCGGTTGAAGGGCAAGGGTGAGCTGGCTGCAGAGGGCAGCTGGAGTAACACCTCAGCCGTAGCAGAGACCATTTTTTGTGTGGGAAATTCAAAAGATGTGGGTTTATGTGCCGCAGAATCATCATTACCAGGAGTATGCCTACAGCATCGGTTCAATCAGATTGCTCAAAAAGGTGATGGAAATCAGCTAGATACAGCTGTTGGAAATCAGCAACAAAGCGTAGAGTGTAATCCTTTTCCTCAAAAGAAGCCCCTATAGCCTATCTAGCCCCTACCATAGATGGGCAACTACCTACCCCAGCCGTAGATGAGACAACAGGTTTTATAAAAAGCCTCAGTGAGCCCTTTAAGGAAAGACCTGGCATTTGCCTTGAGGTTAACTTGGACCACGGCCATAGTGGCCTGCAGCCCACTAAGATAGCCCATGTGAATCTGCAGCCCATGGGGGCATCAACTTACAGCTCACCAACAGCAGAGGAGACACCCCAGTCCAAGACCAATACCATAACCAGCCCATCCATCCCAGGCCCCACCCGAAACCGGCCAAAGAAATGGAAAAGAAAAGGCAGCAGACGCGACAAGATTAAACACCAATTACTTGCAGGCAGATTCTCTGGGTTCACTAGGAGAATGGAGCACAAAGGTGCAAGCACAAGTAAAGGTATCATCAAAGGAGCTAAATCAAGATTTTCAACTGAACCTATTTCCTCCAACTCTGTTTCTGCAAGGGATACTCACCAAGAAGCACATGCAACACTGCAGGTAGGGGAAAGTTTAGGCTTTGACTTCAAGGGTCAAGAAGCTGAGGTCATACAGAAACTCACAAATATGGAGGAGCAGGATAAAGAAAGATTAGGAAGAGGAACTGCCATGGTGGAATAACTAACATCTACTGGAGGCATCTAAGAGTCAATTTGTTTCCAATGAAGTTGCTGAGCTGGAATATTAGAGGAATTGGGAGGCCTGCAAAGAGAAGGAAAATAAGGAAGCTCCTTCTTGATAAAACAATAGATATGGTCTTGCTTCAAGAAACAAAACAATCAAGCACTAATATTTTATGGGTGAAGAGTATTTGGCCCAGAGACAAGTTCGAATTTATGGCTGTGGATGCTGAAGGTCTAGCAGGTGGTTTGATCTGCATTTGGGACCCGGATTTTTTCCACCTTTCAGACTGTTGTTGCAACAGAAGCTTCATCCTTCTGTCAGGTAAAATCCAAAACTCTTTTGATTGTGTAATTACCAACATCTATGCTTCAAATGATGTAGTAAGAAGGAAGGAATTATGGGTGACCCTACTAAACCTAAAACATTCTTTCCCAAAACCATGGTGCCTTGGGGGGGACTTTAATGAAATCAGAACAGTAGGGGAAAGGATAGGGATCTCATGCAGGGACAGGGGCATGAAGGAATTCAACCAATTCATAGATAATTGTGAGTTGGTGGATGTACCAATGATAGGTAGAAAATTCACTTGGTGCAATGCTTTGGATGGGAATAAATGGAGTAGAATTGACAGGTTTCTCATTAGCTCTGAGTGGTTGGTGAGGTTCAAACTCATTCTCTGGGGCCTCTCCAGAACGGTCTCTGACCACTGCCCACTTGTACTTATAGAGGATGGTAGGGATTGGGGGCCTAAACCATACAAGTTTCTAAATGCTTGGCTCTTACACCCAAACCTAGCTTCTATAGTGGAGACCACTTGGAGGGAAACACAGTTGCAGGGGTCAGATGGATTCCTCCTAAAAAAGAAGCTGCAGGCTATGAAAATGGCATTAAAAAAGTGGAGCAAAGAAGTCTATGGTAATGTTGCGAACAAGCTAAAAGATACAGAATCTGTCATACATGAACTTGATTTATTAGCTGAAATAAGGCCCTTGGAAGAGTCAGAGTTGACGCTACTAAGAGAGAAAAGAAATGAAAAGTGGTCACTAAACAGGAAGCTGGAATGGGAGTGGCTCCAAAAGTCGAGGATGGACTGGACATTAAAAGGCGACAGGAACACCAAATTTTTCCATGCAATGGCAAGTAGTAGGCAAGCTAGAAACACCATCAATTCCATTACAGTAGGGAATGCGTCTTTTGAGGAGCCAAATGCTGTCAAGCAAGAGGTATGGAATCATTTCTTTAAATCTATATTATATATCAAATTCTAGATAATTTTAAAATATTTTTCTTAGTGAATGCCCATATACTGAAGGGAGGGAGAGAGAGAGAGAGAGAGAGCCTCATTTGGTCAACCTAAGAGGACAAAGAAAGATGGGGTTTTTCATACTTGAACAGTCTAGATTCTTTTCCTCCACTCATTCCTTTCATTAATATAATCAGCACTTCCACTCTTACCCTTCCAGAACTTCTTTATACACTCCTTTTCTCCTCCATTTATTTCCACACAATACAATACCTTCCTCATATATTCCAAAAACACACTCTGGTGTGATGTCCTAATTCAGCACCAACAGTTCAATATTCCAGAATGGTCTTTGAAGGTGTTTGCAACACAGGCCTTAGCCTTGGCTCAACCTCTATCAACAATCCTGAGAATGATCACTTCCATCAATCTCACCATCATCATCAACACAAGATCAACAAACTGTCATCTCTGAAACTCGATCATGTGTTCCCATCTCTTACTTTGGGCTTATCATCAGAACACAAACACCGAGCTCCTGAAGAGATTGTTGTTAGCAAAATTCATGGTGAAATTGAATCCACAGTTTTTTATCGACAAGGCTCTTCGCGTAGCGCTGTATCTTCGTACTCAAACTCTAGTGTCAAGAGGGAGAGAGATAATCTTAGTGCGGAAGAGGTAGAGAGAGTTTCTTCAAAGGTGAGTGACGATCAAGATCAAGATGAGGAGGGCAGTGCAAGGAAGAAACTTAGACTTACCAAAGAACAGTCTATCATCTTAGAAGATAGCTTCAAAGAACACACCACTCTCAATCCTGTATAAATACCATCTTTTCTTTATCAATCTTGATTTATTCTATTTTAAAATTTTATGTGACAAATAGACAACTATTGGTTAGAAGAGTGATTGATCTGTTTCTGAATTTGGTATCCTTTCTTTTTTTTAATTATCAGAAGCAAAAGCAGTCCTTGGCGAAACAGCTAAATCTTCGGCCACGGCAAGTGGAAGTTTGGTTTCAAAACAGGAGAGCCAGGTATTCTTCATAAATATAGTGTTCTCTCTCTTTTAATACTGGTTTTGAGCAATACAGATAAGGAATCAGGTGATACGCTTGTGAATTTTGTATGCAAAACAGTTTTGTAGCCACAGCCATATTACAAGTCATGCCATGAAATAATGTTTATAGCAAATTAATCGATATGCATGCATGTGATTTTCCTTCCCACCAGTATATTAGAGTGCTTTTATTCCCATCAACATAAGAAGATGTATTGGTATCAAGAAGAAGATCTGATACGTATTGAACTATTGCCTTTAAACCCATGTTAAAGACTTACTATGCTCAATATGTTTGATCTAAGCATGAATCATAGTTTTAAATAACAGTATTGGGATATGTATTGGTGCTGGCAATATGGCCATACATGGGCCAATAATATCAGATAGTATCGACAGATATATCGATAAATTACAGTATTGCAAGTGCAAAATCCCAACATGAAATGGCTGGTATTTAAAACTCTTATGAATTAGTCATACTGAATTTTCTTTTCTTTTCTTGCTCTCAACAGGACTAAGCTGAAGCAGACTGAGGTAGAGTGTGAGGAACTGAAAAAGTGTTATAAAACACTAACAGATGAGAACAGAAGGCTGCAGAAGGAGTTACAAGAGCTGAAAGTAGTAAAGATAACAGCTCCGGTTTATATGCAAATGCCGGCAGCCACCCTCACCATGTGCCCATCGTGCGAAAGGATTGGTGATGGCAGTGGTGAAAACTCTTCCAAAAGCCCTTTTTCAATCGGAGCAAAGCCTCACTTTTATAATCCCTTCACCCATCCATCTGCAGCTTGCTAGATTATTACTACGGTTTGAAGTATCAACTATTGTGTATCAGGATTTGAGACTTTTTTTTAATACTGTTGTTCATCGATATATCGACTGATACTATTTGATATCAATTGATATACAATTGTATGGTCAATACTGATGCCATTATTTAAAACCTCCCGCCAAGGCTGAACAATTTTTAGTTCAAGCTAGCCTTCTCTATGTCACTCTAGAACTAGTCAAGTTATGAAATTTGTACCGTGAAATCTCTCTCTCTCTCTCTCTCTCTCGTGTACATATATATTTTTGTACAAACTTTAACAATAGTATATGAAGGGGTTCTTTTTCCTTTTAAGTTTCAGTAATTTATGATTTTCATTTGGAAAATCTGAGTGAACTTTGATTTTCTGATTAGAGTGATGTGGAAGAAAATGACAGTATGCACAGATGAAAAGAGGCATAGAATAATTAATTGATAATATTATGATTACGCATGAAGATAGAAAGCTTGGTTGAATTGTGTGTGGTTGCAAGTTGTTGATTCTGCTGTTACACTTGTGAATGCCCACAGAATTTCTGTCCACAGAACAAATAGAAGCAAAAGATAGTCATTGGCTTGTTGAGTTTGCCAACTTTGTTGGGATATTTTTCTTAAGCTATCATACTTTTATCCTGGGCCATTTTTATTTATGTAATTTGATTGTACAGCTTGTACTTCTTTTTCATCAATAAATTTCATTTTTTCGATCAAAAAAATAAAAAATAAAAATACAAGCAAACGAGAACTTACTGATCATGTTGTTACATATTTGGCGTACCACGTATTCATGTAGTCATACTCATACCAAATAGGTACTCAATATAGGGAATCATTTTTGAAATACACATGCTTCATGGATTTCAAGTATATAAGTTCTAAAATCAAGATTTACGCTAACTTTTGAATGCACTTGTAGAATTTAGAATATTTGGTTGTGGATCAGTACAAGCAAAAAATAAATAAATAAATAAAATACAAGCAAACAAGACCAAACCAAAGAAGTGACTCACAATATAGCCAGTAATTTGCAAGTTATTAGGGGAAGCAAAGCTTACTAACACAACCGAATGCAAATTTTTGGGTGAAAAGTGTATAGGACATCTGTTCATGATTTTTGTTAACCATTGCAAATTGCAATTCATTAATTTAAATCTTACGAATTTTTATTTATTTATTTTTTCGTATGGTGAAAACCATAAGTTTGAGTTACTAATAAAGTGCGGGGGCGGGTTCTAGTTCACAAAATTTATTGCTTAGACAGTGAAGTGCTAAAATATAGGGTTACTTATATTACAACCAACAAATACATTCAGGAGGATTATAGATGGTAAAGTTTCAACCAATCCGTCCAAGTTGGTAAGGCAATATGCTCTCCACATTACTGATGAGGATTCGAATCCCCCCTCATTTGCCTCGTTCGCTATTAAATGGCAATTTTTGAATTTCGAGTTTACTTTCGTGAAGTGGGTCCAAAGGACCTTCTTAAAATGGGTTCTTGATTATCAAAAATAAAAATTAAAAAGTTTCAAGCAATCCTAGCTTGATGCACATTAATGGTCTCAAAATTTTTCAACTGTGATTATAATAAAAGAAAATGTTATAGACCCCAAATGATTTATCAAATTTTTTTGCCAAACCTCTAAACAAATGCAAATTAAGAATAATTCAAGTCACATTCATAGTTATCATCTAATTAAAATGTTGTCATACTCCTAAAATCAATTTGCTGCAACATTTGGTCTCATTCATTGTTCCTAAATCGTCATCCAAAACATATGGTATACCTAATCACATGAGGACTAATTTAATTTGTGAATCATATTTTCTAAATACAGATCATTTGTCCACTTCTCTCGTGTTTCTATCTCAAATCATCTACACATTGCACTATAAATCTCTCTGACTTAATCATATAATATAAAATTGGTTTAAGAAAATAGTAAAAGAATAGATTTAAGCCGTGAAAATGAGAGAGAAGAGGACATATTATCCATATTAGAACTTGCTAGCAACATTCATGACATAGTGCAGCCATCAAACATCGTTGTCATGACCAAAACCACAAATAATGTTAATGTCATAGCCCACATTAACCATTGCCCTATATGTAGTCTCTTCCACGTCCCAACATAGCTTAATATAATAATTATTATTGTTATTATCTTCACATATAATTAATTAATCCTTAATTAATATAATGTTTCTTTTTGCAATTCTTTTCATGTGTGCTGGGCATGCCAGATTTTTGCATAGTTGATGACGAATATATTCAATGCCCTCTACGTACCATCTGCTTGCATGAACTAAATTGCTATATTGTTGACACGTGTCTCAAACTAGGCAATTTTGGTTTTGTCTACTTTAAATATGACTCTCTATTAAAAATAAAAATAAAGAAAGAAATTTAAATATGGTTGATGTTCCAGAAGACCACCATGACATATTCTAAACAATTACTGCCTGGGCAGCCACGGAAAAACCGAAGCCACTAGATCAACAAGGACTATTTATTGTATAACCTACTTTGCAACGTATTTCGAAGGTAAAATGTATAATATAAATTCAAATTTGATGAATAATGAGAAAATTTTAAATAGATAAATTTTGTTTTGTAATATTTTGGGTAAATTACAAATACACTCTCTGAGATTTGCTTAAAATACGAATTGTCCCTTGTGGTTTGAAAAATTACAAATACCTCCCTGTCAAAATTTTTTATTTAACAGAATTAATTAAAAAAGTAAAATTTCTAATTGTTCACCTATACAATAATAAAATCATCTAAATTATTAAATGAAATAAAACTTTAATATATTAAAAACTGTTAATTAACTTGATAATTTATTAATAAAAGAACCTATTTGTTATGAAATTAGAAAACTTACGGGGCATAATGTAATTTCTAGAACTACGATTGGCAATTTGTAATTTAAGTAAAGTTATGAGAGTGTGTAATTTATTCTAATATTTTTTATAGTTCATAATATTATTGTTGTCGTATATGTTGAAAAATGGTTTTAGGAGCATAAGTTTTTGCTAAGTTTAGGCCAATTTAGAGTAGTACCTACCTAATATTTTCCATTGGTCCACGAGGTAAAGTTGTTTTGTTTTTGTATGGAGATTAAGAATATATATTTGGTTGGTTAAAACTATTTATGGGTATAAGAAATTGACAGCAAAATGAGTTAATTGGAAAGGGCTCATGTTGCTTAGTAGGGATGGCAATGGGGCTTAATAGAGTAGATATTAATTCTTCATCTTCATTTTTTTATAATTATTTTTTCTCATTCCTCATTCCCCATGGGTACTACCCTCCCCATTTTTTAATGGGTTTGGATATTCCCAAACCCAACTTGACCCCTTTTTTTTAAGATTTACAACCAAAGCTAAATATACATTCAATTTTTTTTTTTTTTAAGGTTCACAATTTTTTTTTTTTTTTTTTTATTTGTTCAAATTTTTAAAATTTATTTCGAAAAATTGATTCACAACCAAAGCTAAATATACATTCAATCTCTTTTTATTTTTATTTTTTTTAAGGTTCACAACCATTTTTTTTATTTTTTTTTAAAGATTCAGAACCAAAGCTAAATATACATTCAATCTTATTTTATTTTATTTGGCTCAACAACAAAATCAAATATACATTAATTAACATTGTCACATTATTCTTGTCAAATTTTATGTATGTCTAGAATTTTTAAAATTTATTTTGAAAAATTCAATCTTAACCAAAGCTAAATATACATTCAATTTTATTGTTTTTTTATTTTTTTTTTTAAGATTCACAACCAAAGCTAAATATACATTCAATCTTATTTTATTTTATTTGGCTTAACAACAAAATCAAATACACATTAATTAACATTATCACATTATTCTTGTCAAATTTTATGTATATCTAGAATTTTTTTAATTTATTTAGAAAAATTCTATTCCTACAAAAAAAATTCATCTTCTTTTTTAATGTTATGTATCTCCTTCTCCTCTTTATTAATTGATTTTCGATAATCTGAATGTGAGTTATTGCTCTCATTTTCATCTCCTTCTTCTTCTTCTTTTTAAAAAAAAAAAAATTATTTGCATTTATAGAATGAATTTTCTTATTTCAATATCTCCTGCAATTGTTTTATTGAATTTTTTTCTGATTTGATGGTAACCTTAGATTGAATTTTTTAATTTTCATCTTAACTAGTGATCACCTTAATTGAAATTTTGTACATTTTTGTCTTCAATTTTTATATTTTGGTTATGATTAATTGCGCGTTTTTGATCGATAGTCACAATGTTGTCACCGCTAGATTGTCGTCATTGCAAATCGCCGTTGCTGTAGTGAGAGGATGAGAGAGAGTGAGAATTAGAACTCTAATTGTCAACAGAGTAGGGATGGCAATGGATAACCTACCATGTGGGTATCCATGGAGACCCAACCCAAATACTTGGGTTTCCCCTTTTTTCTTGTCCGTCAGGTAGGATAAGTGATATTCTTTAAATCTCAACCGGGGATGGGTACCCACTAATTTTTCCATATTTTTTTTAGGTACATCGAAAAATAATTTCTTCATATGTTTTCACTACTCTGTTGACAATTAGAGTTCTAAGACCCCAGAGAGTAATGCTACTCACAAGCCGATGGATACTGGAAAAGGTAGGACCAAAGAGATACATGTTGCAGAGGAGGAGGCTAAGGAAGTTTATGTCCCATAAGACATTGGTGCTACCTTTGCTTCTTCTCTCAAAGGTGATTTGGACAAAGTTGTGGACCCAGCCTCTGAGATTCCTTCTTCTAAAGAAAGTTAAAGTGATCCTTGAGACAATTTCAGTTTTTACGTTCTATTTTTTCTTCTTGTTTTTGTTGCACTAGAGCTCGGTCTCCCTGATGAGTTGCCCCTATGATCGCTAAGACAATTTTTCTCTTTTTTAATGCTTGTGAGGCCATTTGTGCCTTTGATGAACGATTATGATTTTCTTGATTTTGCAATTCAATGTTTTTGCTTGTATATCTGAGTATATCTATACTATTTGCCCCGCCAAGCACTGTTGGGACCTTCGGGCCGAATAGCTACTCGGTCTAGTTACTTGATGTGCTGCATGACTGTGATTGTATAAAATTGAAGAAGAATGACTTACTTAGGTC